CACTACCTCTAAGACCCTTGTTTTAATTTCCCTTGAGGTCGGGTTCATTTATTACTTATGTGATATACAGTTCCTAAAACAATGTCCTCACTTCGTTTTCAGAGAGAAATTATGTGTTGTCACACAGTGCCAAGACGTGCCTGGAGATTTAGGTGCATGGTACTGAGAACGTTACAACAAATTAGCTAAAATTACAGCATTGCACGTTGTAAAATAAGAATATTAAGAAAACTACTTAGTCTAACTCAGGTTGAGGATGGTCATTTTTGAGTGATTTAATCCCTAGTGATGTTATCATTGAATTGGAGCAGACTTTAAGAAATTATCAATAACCAAGGGAGAAATAGCAAACACAGCCACTAAGGGGTGGGGATACATCATCAATGCTTAAATTCTTTAGCTGAATTGTCTCTGAGGCACGGCACATTTGGCTTTTATTTTACTAGGCCAGCAAAGAAGAGTCTGTGCAGTCGTCAACATGCTTGTGACACATGGTAAATAGTACAGGTAAGGTAGGAGAGGTCATACACAGAATTATACAGGGGGGCCCATAGCTACACACTATAATACCCTACAAGCACCAGGTTTATTTGACTTGCTATCATCAGCAATAGGAACATGAACTTGGCCAAATTCACAAAGGATAGTAAGGATTTTTAATATGCATTCCACTCATAGTATTATCTTTCATTGCTACCTCACATGCTGTAGAGGAAAAACAATGGCTTGGACCAAGGTGATGAACATAGGCCCTGGTCAACACTACAAAGTCACGTGGTGAAGACAGATGAGATAGAATGCAGTGGAAAACTACCACTGTGAATTTAAATTGTGGGCTATGCCATCTTCAGCCCAGCTAAAGGCCGGGTTCGTTATCCGTGTGCTGTCTTCCACTTTGAATCAAGAGGAGGAAATGCATCAGTACCAGGAACCAGAAGGTACTTGTTTTACAGAAAACTGCAACCTGCACACAGAGCCCTATGTCCATTCAATGTCTTCAATCAGTCCCAAAGCCATTTTCAGTACTCTATTGATGTACATGTTTCTGACCACTAACCCACGCAGGTGGTCAAGAAATATCCTAGGGAAAGCATGGAGAGGTAGTGTGCTTCCAGGAAGAGATAGATGCAGACTTACACATTTACACACACACGAGGAAATGTAGCTTAACAGAGTCCTCAGAATTAGAAAATTAATAAGTAGGAATTTAACTTTCCTTGCCTTTTTATTTCAGACTGTTAGACCAACAAATCCCTTCCTAACAATAAAATTTACATAAAGAATCTTGGAGATGAAAATTGGGGTGGAGAAAGGTATAGCTTTATGTTGTTTTCATTTTCTATGGTTCTTTTGGAAACATACCACATAACAATAATGGGTTATCAATCAATTCCTCAGCTCTCTTTTCTTTTGTATCATTATGATTTTGGAAATGTCCCCTAGGACAACCTTTGATGTGACTGTTACAGAATTATCTGAAACAACAGATATTGTTGATCCTGAGTAAACTTAGACTATTGTGGTAGTTATATAATCGTTTGTCAATTTGAGGATGAAGAGTATAGGGGTGACATCTAGTCTGTCAATTGGATCATAGTCAATGAGGTCTCTGTGTGGGCACGGCTTTCTCCTGAGAATTCTGGGAAATCTGGTTTTTCCTCCTTAGAGGCAGGAGAGACTCTTCACTTCCTCCCTGTGAGACGCTCTACTGACAAGACACAAGGCTGAATTCTGGGGAGACATCTCTCAGGAGAAGCCACGTGGACCTACTCTGATGCAGCCTTGGAAGCTGATGAAGCCACATGGAGACCTCTGCCAGCACTGAGATGCTTACAAAGCCACTGAATCCAAAGACTTCCTATACCCACTGGCCTGTGATCATCCTGTGTTTAGTGGCATTGAATGTGTTTTCGTGAGTCTAAAAGTGACTTTCTTTATAGATTGGTATTGGACATATGGGCTAATATCGTACTTATGGGCTTGGACTGGTGGACTGGGCTGGGATGCTTTCTTTCTTTTTTTGGGGGGGGGTGCTTTCTTAATGTACAATTACCCTTGGTACAAAACTCTCATATATATATGAGTTTCTATGGATTTGTTTCTCTAGTCTACCCAGACTAACACAACTATGTACAAGCCTATGCCTCTTAATGACTCAGTTTTAAGTCAAGCATTTCTACCTCAAAAAGCTTGTTCCCCTTAATCTAGAATAGATTAGCAGAGATTTATACTCATATAGACAAGGTGGTCATACTCTATACCCCATGGAAGCAGGAAGTACCTAGAGAAGGGTAGCCCTCCACCTCTGAGCCCATAAAGAATTATGTGTACGACATCTCTCAAGGTGGAAACGAGAAAGATCAAAGTCCTGAAAGTGGAGATTTGGATATAGCATGAGTGAAATCCATGACATCTTGGGACTAAATTTCTCAGAACCCCTGGCGATCCTAATGGAAGTTCCTGAGAATCTCATATGCATGGGAATGCTCCAAATGCATGGAGCGGGCTGGAGGGGGGCCACGAAATACGGAAGCCAGCTGTGTGGTTGGTACAGTTTGCTTCTATAGACAGTTCTCTAAATAAAATGCTCCTGTCATGCCTCTGATGCCTTACGGCTTCCAAAAGTAAGTATTTCTCTTGATAAGACAAAAGCCTGAATTCCAGTCACCTATCTACTTCATCGGGTGAAAAATTTCTTTCATAAATGTCCAGTCCTCCTACTGATTCCATTTAAGAGTATGACACTAGACACTCAAAAAGATTTAAAGACTTTTGAAGTTTCTCATGCATTGGGGTTTGATATATTTACATTTAAAACAATGAATGGTTATTAATAGTTTTTATTTTTTAATATTTTGAAAGTGTAGTTTAGAAATATACACGTAAATTTAAGATGAACATGAATTGCTGATGAAAGTTACTAGATATTTAGACAGCTACATAATATAAGAGAGAAAAAGGGAAATCATTGCTTTCATGATGAATTAATAAAATCACCAGAAAATGAACATATTCCCCAAATTATCATTTAATTTTTTGGTATCTTTAAAGTAAATCATTTCGAATAGGAGTTGGGAGGTTGCTTTAGCTATTGCACCTTTGATCCTACCTACAAAGCTACCAATTTAAGGAGATTCTTTTAGCAATGGAATATGTTCATTTGAATTCATTCGTTTGAATATGGAACAAACATTCACACCACTAATTTGCGTATGGAAAAGCATTCCAATTTGCAATGTGTGAATCTTGATGAATTTTACACACTGTAATTTTTTTTCTCATCTACCAGACTTTTTTTAACTTCAAGTGAAAAGACACATAATAATTTTATACATTAATATTTTTGATAGTTTATCTAATATTGACTATGTAGTTCATCCTTTTTGAGGACTTGCACAAAGAACATGAAACAAGAAAATCTCCTATGAGATACCTCAGATTTTTTATTTATGTTTTTTTTTAAGTAGAGGGAGCAAACCTAGTGGAATATCAGTTTTACTTTCTTAGCAACAACTGCAATGTATCTATATCTATCTATCTATCTATATTTACATATGTATACATATATATGTACATATATATGTACATATATATTTGAATATTTTCACTGATATTCTTTAAAGCGTCATCAAATAATTAAAATATTTAAGAATTCTACAGGGTTTTGTATATAGTTAGTATGACACAAATTCGATGATCACTTATTAATTTTATTTAAAAACAGTACACATGTGAGAAACAAACATATCTGTGTTTTATATTTAAAAGCTACACATGTTTTAGTTGTATTTTCTAAATTCCTTCAGAACAAAGGCTTCCAGAAATAGGTAGGTGGGTAGGTAAGTGGACAGGTAAGTACGAAGCGAGGAAGTGGGTAGGGAGATAAAAAAGGAGTAGAGGGAGTGAAAACATGAGGGAGAAGAGAGGAAATCACTCCTTTGAATCAATGTCCGTCATTTATGAAACCACTGCTAAGGCAATAAGCATTTAATATAGAAGTTGAAATTTCTGAATTCCAGGTAGCTGCTCACTCACTTATGTCCATCAAGGCGATGTAGCCTCATAGACACCTCATTGGAGAAGGTAGAACCGCCCTGTGGGTTCCTGAGATTGTAACTCTACAGGAGCAGAAAGCCCAGGCTTTCTCTTGAGAAGGGGCTGGCGCCTTTGAACTGCTGACCTTATGGAGAGCAGCCCCACTGGTAACCACTATGCCACTAGGGATGCAGACCCTTCCCAGGCAGTTAAAAATAAGGGTTAGAGATATATCTCTCTTGAGTGCCTTTCAACTTTGATGGTGAAAAAAGAAGAGATAAAGCCAAACTCACTGTCTCTGACTTAGTTCTGAGTCCCAGGGACACTGTCAGGCACAGTGGAATGGCCCCTTACTTTAAGAAGCTCTCTTTACCAGTGTAGAAAGTCTCACCTTAGACTTGCTGTCTAAGGTAAATCTCAATTACCAAGTAAACAATCTCAAAACAAACAACATCAACAACAAAATTCATTGCCATCCCGCCATTCCCCACCATAGTGCCCCTTTAAGACAGGGTAGAAGTGCCCTGTAACTCTTCGTGAGATTAGGGTCTCCACTTTCTTCCAAGGAGCAGCATGGGTTTTGAACTGCTGACCTCTGACCTTGTGGCTAGCAGCCCACCACATAAAGCACTATGGTACCAGGGATCCAAAGGTAAGTACTATGGTAGCAATACAGTACAGATAAGATAAACTCAAAATCCCTTGCTCCCTGCCTTCTAGTGGACAATGACCCTACAGGGCATGGTCGAACTACCCCTCTGAGTTTCCAGGACTATAGCTCTTTCCAGGAATAGGCACAACTCATTCTTTTCTAAGTTCTCCTCATTTTTGAAAAGTAAGCACAACAAATTAGCAGATATGACACCCTGGTTGCACATTCTTTCAGCACTTGAATTCAAAAGTTTCACTTTGTACTTTCAGCAGAAAAAGTGAAAGAATGGTAATTAAGGCACAGATTAATTTACCTCTCCCCATTCATAGGAGCCAATGTTGCCAAAAGTGGTTCCTCCCCATGAACAGAAAACAATAGTGCGGTCAGGTCTCCATCCTTTCTTAACACTTAACATCAAGGCTTGGAGAAAAGCTGTGATCATAGCAGTGCTACTGGCCCATGCTTGCCCACTATAACTGTGTGGGGTGTGATGGTGGCTGCCAACGAAGATATACCGATCTGGAGAGAGAATAAAATAAATGTCATTAAAAGAAAACATAAAGTTTAACAATAAATGTAATAACATTTACATAATCCTCTTGCACAAGTGAGCAACAATTAAGCCAAATTGTTCTAATAATTAAGACTACTTTAACATTTTCGTCCAGTGTCGTGATTCACACATCTGTGTATATCAAAACAGAGGCAGCTGCTGAACTCAATTATGAATCCAAAGCTGAGATCTACATTACTGTCTTTTGCAAGCTGCATATTAATTAATGAAGTATACAAATATGCCACAATGAAACTGTTATCTAACATTTTTTTCAGAATCATAGGGGGAAGTGTCCTGTAAACAATGTGTGTATGCTCAGTAAATAGTAATGAGCTATTAGTATATCTGAGGAAACAGTCATTCGGTAGCTGTAAATATTAAAAATGTGGTAGTCGGGGACTGATTTTGCAACAAATGAAATTTAAGGAATTAATTACAGCTTCCGGGATATAATTTTAGTCCTCTCTCCTTTCTCTGAAACAAACAAGCAAACAAAACGCACCAGAAGTCATTTAAAAGCTGTAAAATGTGTTTTTTTCAGATATTTTATTTCATACAATCATCCAAATCCATTAGACTTACTACAACCTAAACTTACAGGTGGTGTATTATATTACTCAAGGGGCTGCTGACATCAAGGTCAGCAGTTTGAAACCATTGTCTGATGGGGGGCAACAACAAGGCTTACTACTCCCATAAAGATGTATAGCCTCACAGACCTACAGGGACAGTTGTACTCTGTCCAGTAGAGTCATGAAGACACACACAATACCCCCAAACATCAGGTCAATTCCAACTCATACTGGACCGACAGGACGCAGTAGACCTGCCCTTGTGGGTTGTTGAGACTGTAACGTTATCATGGTGGAAAGCCACATCTCTCTCAGAATGGCTGGTGATTTTTGAGCTGCTGATCTTGAGATTAGCCGGCCAATACATAACCTGCAACACCACCAGCGTTTATAAGACTCCCTACAAGAAAGATCTTCTTTTTGACTCACGAATATGGCCTGCTTCACTTACTATTGACCATGGTAAGATAGATTCATTCCATAAGGCCAGAATTTTTACTGACTGTGTTGTTGGTGCATGCTATCCGTAAGAAGAACTGAGTTCAACTGATTTGATCAAGTTGTTCCAAATGCCCTAATAGGACACAAAGGCCCTCATACAAGCTGTCTTCTTTGAGTACCATCGATTTTCAAATGGCCCATGCAGGGACCCGGGTGGGGTGGTGGGTTACACACTGTGTGCTGTCCACAAGGTCCGTGGTGTGAGAACACCCAGGGCTCTGTCGTTAAAAAAAAAGATAGGACTATCTACTCCAATAAAGATTTAAAGCAGTGGTTCTCAACCTGTGGGTCACGACCCCTTTGGGGGTTGAATGACCCTTACACAGGGGTTGCCTGATTCATAACAGTAGCAAAGTTACAGTGATGAAGTAGCAACAAAAATAATTTGATGGTTGGGGAAGTCACCGCATCATGAGGAACCGTATTAAAGGGTCGCAGTGTTAGGAAGGTTGAGAACCACTGATTTAAAGTCTCAGAAACACAAAGTGGTTGTGAGTTGGCTTTGGGGCTTGGTAGATTTTCATTTCCTTGACTGTTCAATAAGAATGAATGAGTGTGTGCTTTATTCAATTGTTTCGTGTTTCAAATGAGATGTTATTTGTAAGGCGCTTTGAACAGTGCCTGCCACATAGCAAATGCAATACGTGTGCCATGAATAGAGAAATTACTCTGATCACCCTTGAATTCACAGGATCAAAAACTACTTTATGAAAACTGTCATTTTATAAAGTTATTTTAATTCCTCACACAGATATTGAAACAATGTCAACCTATTATCAAGGTTAGAGATTCTGAAGCACGACCACCCCTTACGTCAGGATAAAACCGCTCCCTAGGATGGCTGAGATTGTCAACCATTTTGGAAACAGCCACAACTCTTTCCAGCAGAGTGGCTGTTAGGTCTGAACTGCTGAACTCAAGGTTAACACATAACCCACCCGACCACCAGCATTACAAATTCAAAATAAACCATAATTAAAAAGCATTGTCATACTACTGATGTTTTTCATTTTCAGATTTATTAAAATTTTAAATCTTTCAAATGAATAGATAATATTCTTGTACAGATTTTAAATAAAGTTTGGCAAGCATGCATATTATACAGAAAATAATAAGCCCATCAAACCCATTGATATTGAGGTTTTTTTGCATCTCAAAGCAACACTGTAGGGCCAAGTAGAACTACACCCTAGAGTTTCCAGACTTTACAGAATCAGAAAATATTACATCTTTCTCCTACAGAGAGGGACTGGTGAGTTTGAACTGCCTACCTTGCAGTTATCAGTGCAAGGACAAGCCAAGCCCCACGACAAGTCATAAAAGTACGTTAAGACTAACAAGGATGCTATTTTACTACATTGCCTCTAAACCGAAAAGTCTTATGTGCACAGCTATAAGAGGAAGAAAAATGGGAGAAGGGGCATATATTAATATTGAAGAGTTAAAATGTAGATTTGATTTTTAAATTGTTAATAAACATTACTAAGCTTTCATATTTAAAAAGCAAAATGTTGCTATATATTGTAACATTTTGTTTTAAACATCATCACATCTAAAGTAACTCTCTTTTTAAAAATATCTTTGCCTCATAAAAATATCAGAAGTTGAACAGTGTTTGGTAAATAAAATAAAATGATGATCTTTGTGTTTTTTCTTACCAGACAAATGGCAGGTTACCGAAGGTGAACTGGTTTTTGTTTGTTTCATTTTTATTTTTAATATCCTATAATTGTGTTAGTTTTAACACTTTTACTAAGTAGCCCTGGTGTCTCAATGAGGAAGTGGTCAGATCCTAACTGAGAGTTGGCAGTTTGAACGAACCCAACAGCCCCATAAAGTTTTCAACTTTGGAAATGCAAGTATTTTTCTACTTGGCCATGTATGGTTGCTAGGTATCAGCATAGGCTTGAGGGCACACAAAATTAACAACAACATTCTACAAAGATATACTTTTGAAGAGGGTTAGTAGAAAGGAACATTTAGCGGATCACTTCTTTGTTTCATAGTGACTTCCGCTTGGAGTGGCATGAACTTCTAGTTGCATCAAATTAATATATGATATTTTTCTATGAAGTTTCATAAAAGGGAAAGGTTTTAACTCCTCAACCATACTTACCTGGAGATGTTGAGCCCTTTAAATATCCAACAACGTTTGTAATTGTTTTGAATTCTGTGACTGTCTGCACTTGCATGTTAACAATTCTTATTTCTGGGGGGGAAACAAAAAACAGTTTTAATAGATGCTTATTATATATTCTTCCCCTTAAAACATTATAATTTCTTTATCTGTTGTCAACAGCACAATCTGCTGTGTTGACACAGCATTAATGATCACATCAAGTTATAGTTTCTAGGCAACTATTTATTAAGTACTTTGTATATTCTCTACTTTACATGCTTATTAGATAACTATGACAACATGCAATTGCTAGCCTCATAGAAGTACAGAGACATAACATTCTAAATCTCCCATTCCAAACTAAAATAGGGTTTAACATAGGAGCACACACAATAAGACCACATGAAAATGTGAATAACTCACATTTTTAAACAAGGGATTCAACACACAACAGCTAAAATATTTCCAACGATTACTGAGTATTTTTCTATCATCTAAAAATGAATATATTTTGTTGTTAGGTGCCATCGAGTTCTTTTCAACTTATAGCAACAGAACGACCACTGCCTGGGCTTGCACCAACCACATGCCTGTTTGGTTTGAGACTACTGATGTAGTCACTGTGTGAGTTACTTAATTGTGCCAGCCTGGCCAATAATCACATGTGGGGCTAATTGAAAGGTTGAGAGATAAATGGGTGGTGAGCCTCGCATTTCTAGTTCTCAGGTCTCTTGTTTTGTGATGGTCGCACCAGGGTGCAGCTGCCTTAGCAGCTCCCTGCTTCAGCTTGCAAGACTGACTTCCTACAAGACATCCCCAAGGAGAAGCCTCATGGACCTATCCCGATGTGCAGCCCTGGGTGCTGGAGCAGCCGTGTGGAGACTCCTGCTAGTGCTGAGATGCTTATTCGTTTACTGACTCAGCTTTCCTCCTGCAGTCAGCATCATTGCCTGTTTTGTGAGGTGGAGGACTTTGTGGACTGGTGCTGGGTTAATGGGTTAATGGACTTGTGGGCTTGGGCAGCATTGGGTTGGGATGTTTTCGTGATGCACATTTTCTTTACATAAAACTCTCTTATATATGAGTTGCTGTGGATTTGTTTCTCTAAAGTTGTCAGGTCACATTATTGAGGGCTCCCTCTTTTTCATGAAATCCCCACTTTACCAAGCACGCTGTCCTTTTCTAGGGACTAGTTTCTCCTGAAAATAGGTTCCAAGTACTGGAGACAAAGAACAAACAAATCAGCCTTAGAAGCAATGACCCAGAAGGCCCCTTGTAAGGTGGGATGGCTAGATTTTGTCTCAGTATGTAATTACTGTATATGATGCTTCTTTTAAAAAATTAACCCCTTATGTCAAATTGGGCAAAGGCTACAGAGCAGATCAGTTTTCCACTCAATTTTTCATACGGACTTGTTTCATGTCATTTATTACAATGTCCGCAATGTAACAGGGCTTATTCTAATTCCTCTCTATTTCTCATTTCCAGTCTTTCTCCTTTCCTGATCTTTCTGAGTTTTGTCCTTGGGCAACTGCTAACTTTTTGATCTCAAGTGGCTGATTGTTCTAAGGAGTGCATCATTACCCAGTGGGGTTATGGTCTGTCTATTGTTTTCTTAAAATTGAGTCATGGGGGTGACTTCAGTTCCAGCTTGAAGAATGATTGTTTTTTGCCTTTCTAATTGAATTTGTCTTAGGACCATATAAGTAACTATTACAGTTGATAAGGCATAATCATCTTTGTAAATATTAGCTATAAAGAATGTGGAACTCCTATTTAATGGGCAGAGAGTACCATATGCAGGTGCAGTGGGTAAAGCCCCCAAAATGAGGAGTGATTATCATATGACCTATATGCTTTCTTGTTAGTTACTGAGCCACATGAAATTTTTCCACAAATATGGTGAATTTATGAAATTATCCCACAATTTCCCAACAGGATGGTGAATTTATCCCACAATAGTGTTTAGGCTAGTTTATAAGGTTCATTATTTGTTTTATTCTCAGCACACTTTTTTCTTAAAGTCTTTTTCTCAGGATGACATTAAACTAGTTTCTCCATGTGATACATATTTCTCTGATACAATTTTCCCAGTATTACATTTGCTCTTGCCAAACATCCCAGGGACATCTCTAGATAGGGAACAATTTTCATGCTAACTTTTTCTCTTTTGGCGATGGGTTGCTCTATCACAAAGATAATAAAAATTCTGAGCCAAGGTTTTTGATTTCTAAAGACAGACTTTCCACCCCAACACCACGCATGCGTGCGCACATGTACACGCACACACGCGCGCACACACACACACACACACACACACACCCTTTTCTTTTTCATACACTACCCTGGCAGATGACACATTATCTCTACCAGTGATTGAATATCTTTCTAGTATCCCATGTCTACCCTGTGGTCTAGTATCCCACGTCCACCCTGTGGTCGAGTATCCCACGTCCACCCTGTGGTCGAGTATCCCACGTCCACCCTGTGGTCGAGTATCCC